CATGTACCCCAAAACCTAAAATGCAATAAAATAAATAAATGGGGGAAAATATTTTAGTCAGGAAATCCTGAAAGATTCCTGCACTTTTAAATTCACCTATTCATTCAACAAACACTGAACACTTATTGTACTATGTGATGGAGCTATAAAGACTGTTAATATGTGGCTCCAGGCCCCAGGAGATCTCCCCTTACAGTGGGATAAATAAACATGTCAACATATAGCTGTATAATGCTATGACCAGCAATCCAACAGTTATTTAAAAATGGGCTATGATAGTTAAAGTTACATGTGAGTCACACAGACAGCTAAGTATGTTGCAGTAGCAGATGGCTTCACAAAAAGAGTCTCTCTAAGCCTCCCTTTTTCTTTTTTTTTTTTTTAGATAGGGTTTCACCATATTGGTCAGGCTGGTCTCGAACTCCTGACCTCAGGTGATCCCCCCACCTCAGCCTCCCAAAGTGCTGGGATTACAGGCGTGAGCCACCGCGCCCGGCTATAAGCCTCCCTTTTTCTTAATGATTTCAAAAGCATACTTCCAGGGAGCCTCACTCTCTGCATTGGGAGCTTATAGGAACTGTTTATTCTGAGGCCCCAAGGGTTGATGGGAGAGGAGATCTTAAATAGCACAGGTGCTGGTCTTGTTTTCATGCTGACTGTGCCTCTGAGGCTTTTTTTTTTTTTTTTATTCATCCTTTTGTGAATTTCTCTCTCATCCAAGGTGCTTTACCTTGAGGAGGCCTTTATTCAAGTCACATTGGAAGACTGAGAGGACATTAGCTGCTGACCTGGGGTATGTGAAGAGGGAATATCAGCTTCAGTGATTGATTTCTGCCTTGCCTTGTTTCTATGTTTTCTCCTTTAGTTCAGAAATACAGAGAAGGGGTAGAGAGTGGAGGAAAGGGAAAATCACTTCAGGGATTCGGTTAGACTCATCACGGCACTTGGACGTGACTTGCCTCCAAAACATTGTCTGAGCATTTTCACTGGAGGAGGTAACACCTGGGGGTTTCATAAATTGAATTTGGTACTGATGAAAGACCTGGCTTAGAATCTTGGTGTTAGGTTTGTTCCTCAGAGGTGGAGCTGGCCAAAGGGCTGAGTGAAAGGATAAGTTAAATGAGAAGAGTGCCCTGGGGCTGAGGTACCCCGGACATAATAAATGTCCTGTGCATCTTAATAGTTGTGGATTGCATTACAAAATTCACTTACAAGAAGTTAGGGATAGGGACAGGAGGTGATCACAGGCTGAATTGAAAACGTTCACTCTCGCTTCCCCAACATTATTTGTGAATTTCCTTTAACTTTCATTAGACTCTTGTGCTTGTCTGCCTTCCTACCACCAGAAATTCCTCATTCCTTTCCCTGCAATCTCCAGGTTAGAGAGCAGTTTGGGGACCTCATTAAATGTCCAAGACTTAAGAATTTGAGATGCTTGACTAGAATAGTCTTGGAAAAGTAAAGCTGATGGTAATTCAGAACTTCTCTACTGCACAATACTCAGGGCTGCTATCTCATTCTTGGAGATTATTACAAATATTCCTTAGCTTCTGTTTTTCTTGACCCACTAATAATTTTCCCAAGAACTATCAAGGCTCTTCTTTGTAATTGACATTGTATAACTGCCATGGAAATAACAAGTGATCATTCTTAACAATTTAAATTTGATAAGTAGATACCATTTCTCTTTAAAATTGCTGAAATTTGAGCAGAAGTCCCAAATTAATACCTTCACAGTTAAAGAGAAATACAGTTTAAGAGGCAAATATGTAAGCATTTCAGGAAAAGCAATCATGAGAAAAAGATGACTCATTACTTCCCCCTGCTTCTATTTATCTGTTTGTTCATCTGTTAGACAAATATTTATTGAGTACCTATTATGTACTAAGCATTGAAAGAGGTTTCAGGGATAAAATGGTGAACAAAAAATGTCTGAGCTCTAGCTGGTGAGAAAGACATATGTGGAATAAATAATCACCTACATTAATCATTGCAAAATGTAATAAGTGCTACAAGGAAAATGTTTGCGATACTATGATAACTTGACATACCAGGACTTGATTTAGCCTGGGGGTCAGAGAAGGTTTTCCTGAGAAACTGTTTTTTGAGCTGCGGCTTGAAGAAAAACTAGGCACTAGCTAGGCAAAGAAAATGGAGTAAAACTCTCTGCAGCTGTAGAACAATATGTGCAAAGGTCCCGTGGATGGAGGGAGCATGCTCATTTAAAGAGATTGGGGAGGCCAATGTGGCTAGAGCTCCAAGAGAGGCGTGGAGCACTGTGTTATGAAGCTGGTGCCAGATCACGTAGGACCTTGTAGTAAGAGTCAAGGATTTTGAGATTGTACTAAGAGAATAGAAAAATCATTTGGGGGTTTTAAGCAGGGAATGGCATGATCATATATACATTTTCAGATATTGCTAATTGTACTATAGAGAATGGATATTGGACAAGAGAATTTCAGGGGACCAGTAAGAAGGCTACTGCATAATGCAGGTGAGAAGTAGTAGTAGATTGGACTAGGTAGTGGGGCTAAAGACAAAGATTGGTAGACGGTTCGAGTTATTTAGCAATAAAATTGGGGCCAGGTGTGGTGGCTCACACCTGTAATCCTAGCACTTTGAGAGGCCGAGGTGGGCAGATCATTTGAGGATAGGAGTTAGAGACCAGCCTGGCCAACATGGTGAAACCTTTTCTCTACCAAAAATACAAAAATTAGCCAGGTGTAGCAGTGGGTGCCTATAATCCCAGCTACTTGGGAGGCTGAGGGGTGAGAATTGCTTGAACCTGGGAGGCAGAGGTTACAATGAGCCGAGATTGTACTACTGCACTCCAGGCTGGGTGACAGAGTGAGAGTCTGTCTCGGAGAGGGAGATGTGGGGGTGGGAAGATAGGAGTTGGTGTAGATTGGAAATTGAAGATGAGGGAGGTGGAAGGTATTAAGCCTTACTCGGGTTACCTGGCTTGTTGTACTTATTAGATGGTGATACTTGCTGCTGTGATAAAGATCACTGGAAGAGCATCAGATTTGGGGTGAAATTTGTGAAGCTTGTTTTGCATATGGCCATTTGCAGTGTCTTTGAGACAGCCACATGTATAATATATGGAGTAGACAGCTGTATGCAAGTCTGGAGCTCAGAGGAGAGGTCTGGCTGGGCCACGTCAAATTGTTGATGTACAGCTTGCTATTGAAGCCGTATTTTGGTGAGATATGGGTTGGGGTTGATAAACTAGCTAATGAAATTTACCTCAACATGGTCACATGAAAGTTACACTAGTATAGCATTGGATGGAAACTTAGAAGTTACCTTTAAAGTTTTGCTTCAAACAGTAAAATAATTATTATTATTTCCAATATAGCACCATTATTATTAAAATTTTTTGGAAAGGCTAGCCCTCTCTTGTCCCTCCCTAGTTTTGTAAACAGATGAGAAAAAGTAAGACCTCAGGAGTTGAAAGTGGCTTTTCTTTAGCAGCAGAGCTGGGATAACAACCTTAAATGCCCTAATTATGGTTGTTTAATATCATGGTCATAAGTTGTTTTTAATCTAGGATTTTTTTGACATGGAAGGGTAAGATCTTGGATAACAGAGAACCTTTCTATTACTATTATTTTAATTATGAATAGGACCATTTAAAAAAATATATATTTTATTGCATTTTAGGTTTTGGGGTACATGTGAAGAACATGCAAGATTGTTACATAGAAACACACATGGCAATGTGGTTTGCTGCCTTCCTCCCAATCATTTCTCCCCATGTCGTCCCTCTCCAACTCCCCACCACCCACCCGATGTCCCTCCCCTAGTTCCCCCCAACAGACCTGAGTCTGTGATGCTCCCCCCCATGTCCATGTGTTCTAATTGTTCAACAGCTGCCTATGAGTGAGAACATGCAGTGTTCTTGTGTCAGTTTGCTGAGAATGATGGTTTCCAGGTTCATCCATGTCCCCAAAGGACATGAACTCATCGTTTTTTATGGCTGCATAGTATTCCACGGTGTATATGTGCCACATTTCCCTGTCCAGTCTATCATCGATGGGCATTTGGGTTGGTTCCAGGTCTTTGCTATTGTAAACAGTGCTGCAATGAACATTCGTGTGCATGTGTCCTTATAGCAGAATGATTTATAATCCTTTGGATATATATCCAGTAATGGGATTGCTGGGTCAAATGGAATTTCTATTTCTAGGTCCTTGAAGAATCACCACACTGTCTTCCACAATGGTTGATCTAATTTACACTCCCACCAACAGTATAAAAGTGTTCCTATTTCTCCACATCCTCTCCAGCACCTGTTGTCTCCAGATTTTTTAATGATCACCATTCTAACTGGCCAGAGGTGGTATCTCAATGTAGTTTTGATTTGCATTTCTCTAATGACCAGTGATGATGAGCATTTTTTCAAATGTTTCTTGGCCTCATGTATGTCTTCTTTTGTGAAGTGTCTGTTCATATCCTTTGCCCACTTTTGAATGGGCTTGTTTGTTTTTCTTGTAAACCTGTTTTAGTTCTTTGTAGATTCTGGATATCAGCCCTTTGTCAGGTGGGTAGACTGCAAAAATTTTTTCCCACTCTGTTGGTTGCCAATTCACTCTAATGACTGTTTCTTTTGCTGTGCAGAAGCTCTGGAGTTTGATTAGGTCCCATTTGTCTATTTTGACTTTTGTTTGCAGTGCTTTTGGTGTTTTAGTCATGAAGTCCTTGCCTAAGCCTATGTCCTGAATGGTTTTGCCTAAGTTTTCTTCTAGGGTTTTTATGGTGTTAGGTCTATGTTTAAGTCTTTAATCCATCTGCAGTTAATTTTCGTGTAAGGTGTCAGGAAGGGGTCCAGTTTCTGCTTTCTGCACATGGCTATCCAGTTTTCCCAACACCATTTATTAAACAGGGAATCCTTTCCCCATTGCTTATTTTTGTTAGGTTTGTCAAAGATCAGATGGTTGTAGATGTGTGGCATTGCCTCTGAGGCCTCTGTTCTGTTCCATTCGTCTATATCTCTGTTTTGGTACTAGTACCGTGCTGTTTTGATATCTGTAATCTTGTAGTATAGTTTGAAGTCCAGTAGTGTGATGCCTCCCGCTTTGTTCTTTTTGCTTAGAATTGACTTGGCTATGCAGGCTCTCTTTTAGTTCCATATGAAGTTTAAGGTGGTTTTTTCCAGCTCTGTGAAGAAGGTCATTGGTAGCTTGATGGGGATAGTGTTGTATCTATAAATTACTTTGGGCAGTATGGCCATTTTCACAATATTGATTCTTCCTAAGCATGAGCATGGAACATTTCTCCATCTGTTTGTGTCCTCTCTTATTTCATTGAGCAGTGGTTTATAGTTCTCCTTGAAGAGGTCCTTTACATCCTTTGTTAGTTGTATTTGTAGATATTTTATTCTCTTAGTAGCAATTGTGAATGGCAGTTCATTCTTGATTTGGCTGTCTTTAAGTCTGTTGTTGGTGTATAGGAATGCTTATGATTTTTGCACATTGATTTTGTACTCTGAGACTTTTCTGAAGTTGCTTATCAGTTTAAGGAGATTTTGGGCTGAGATGATGGTGGGGTCTTCTAAATAGTCAATCATGTCATCTGCAAATAGAGACAATTTGACTT